AGAAGGCCTGGAATCCAGTCACTTTCTCAGCAGAAGTGATCCAGCAAAGCTCTCACAGGGTAAGATCCTCTGGGCCACAGATAGGTCAAGTTAAGTGAGAACCCTCAGCTACGCACAAACTGATGAAATAGCTGCTCCATCCTGCTGAGGCCGCTGACAGCACCACATTCTGCAGGTCTCACCCACAGGTGGGAACTGCTGCTTGAAGGAGAAGGTCCTGAAGCACTGCAAGGTTCAGTACGACCCTACATACAGAAGGAGCAACAGCTCTCCAAGCCTCTGAACGGTGTTCAGTGGCTGACAATTGCAGCTGGACCTCTGCAGCTCCAGTTGGCTCACCTCTGCTCAGAAGGGAAAGCGGGATAGCTCTCAGGCTGAAAACGCACAAGCAGCAATTGCAAGAAACTGCTTAAGACCAAGAGTCATTCTTATGAGCTGGTCATCATGGACCCAGCCCTCACTGGTCCTTTAGCAGGTCTGCAGCTTCTGGAGAGTGACTTTTGAGAAATGGAATTACGTACCTGTTCCTCCCGCTCCACACGGCAGGAAGAAGCACCTCCATCAGGTGCTGCAGAGCAAACACTGTTTTCCTGAGGGCTCTTGGAAGAGACCTGAGAGGAGGGAGAGACCTCCCACAGACAGACAGTCCTGCTACACAGGAGCTGCAGCAAAGTTGTGCTTGGGCTGCTGAGGGAGTAGCAACAGGCACCAGGGAACACGTGGCTGCCAACTGTCTCAAGCAACCACTATTTCTATCCAAGAGCAGGAGAGCTTTCATTTCTGTCTACCGCCTCTGTCCAGGGGGCAAGAGTCCTTGACAGGATAGAAGAGCTCTTATGAGGACATCCATATCTTCACCAAGACTGATCATGGGCCCTGCCCTGAGCCTGCTCTTCCTAGGGGCAGGCAGGGCATCACAGCAGCCATACTCACAGACAGTGCAGTTTGCTCTCATAGACTTGGTTCATGTCCCCTTGGCGACTGGAAGGAGGCTGAGCTACCAACTGTAATATATCACCCCCAAAGTATCCGCTATCTGTGGGTACACTTATCTTAATCAGACCACAAGTTTTAAACAGTATCTGGCAGATTAAATTGCCTAACATTTGTTTCTTATAAAGGGGTGGCTTTGCCAGGAACCTGGTGATAGAGTTTTTACAAAGAAAACTGGTACCTTAGTCTGTTAACCTCCTGGTACTTCTTCATCAAGGAAGCAATGAAAGCGGTGGAAACCAGCTGCCTAGTTGGGAGGGTTTACTGAAGCTTCCAAAGGTCTTTGTCAAGAAGCAAAGTATTTATCATGAAGCAAAGTATTGCAAAATTGAAATACCAACAGAAGGTAATAGGTGAAGATTAAGACTGATCCATCACTTTGCTGTTCAGAAGCCCTAGCTTTTTGGTGGTCTGACTGCAGAAGTGGTAAGGATGGTGAGCAGAGGTGGATGAGTGTGATAGGTGACAAGTCAAGGTTAAGTAGGATCAGCAGGAGCCAGATCAAAACAAGTGTTGTGACAGCCAGAAGAGCCCAGTGCTGGTAAATAGACAAGAGCCCCTTGACGTGTTCATGAGGAACAACACAGAACTTCTCCGCTTTCCTCTTGATTGGATGTGGAGTTACTACGTCAATCCAAGAAAGGGTCTGGACCCACTTGGTGGAGACCTCAGCAGCTCAGGTACAATCAGGTTTCAGGAGAGGGGTGGAGGGCTGGATTAGAGTCACTTTATCCTGGATGTCACACACTTTGTTATAGTTTCTGAAATAAACCAGACTCCAGGCTTTCCTGCATCTTATGAACAGTTTCCCTGCACTCCTTTCCTCTTCCAAGAAGTGTGTCAACAGCCAGAAGTAGGTTTGAAATGTTTTAGTTGCAGAGAGAGAAAGCCTGAAACAGAACATGAGTTCCTTTGGCTGAGCTAGCAAGTCACTGGAGTGATCCTGCTTCCACAGACATCCAGAGAGACAAATAGTGATTTCACTTGATGGCAGTAAGATAGGTGGCAGCAGTTCTTCTTCTCATGATTCCTGGACAGATCTTCTATGGAACATCTTGCCTCAAAATGTGGCTGATACTGAGTTTGTCTGTCTCTCCTTTCTGGTAGACTCTGGTGGTCTTCCCCAGACATCTGCTTTCAGCCAGTGTCACAGGTGGAACATTAGGTCAGACAGCATTATAGGTCGTTTTGGATGTCTCCTTTTGGCATGAAGCATCTTTCTCTGAGATCTCTCTTTGTGGAGCAAGCCCACAGAAACCACCTCAGGTGAATGCGAGGCTGTTCAGTAAAACACGCTCTAATGGCCATCTCCAAGAGCCTTGGCAGGTACAGTCTGGGGAAGGGTTAAGCAGGGCCAAAGGGGGCACATTTACCCTGACAAATCCTCTTGGACCTGGGCAGAGCAAACCATGCAGTGAGGTCCACATGGACATGAGCCTGCGCAGGGTTGCAAGCATCATTCATGGAATACAGACTCCAGAGTAAGCACAGTGCCAAGAGACAGCTAAAGGCAATAGAGAGTGAATAGCTATAGCAGGACAAATTTCATTCCATCATAGGAGCCAGCTACAAGACAAGCCATAGAGATGATATTTCTCATCATCTGAGTCCCACAGGAGGTGAGAGCGTGTTTGGCTTAGCTGCAGAGGAGCCACACAAGGAGGTCAAGGCAGAGCACAGTTCCTCCCTGGCAGCTGGGCAGATGCAGTGTGAACCCATAGCAGGACCAGCACACTCAGACCAGGACAATTCTGTCCCCAAGGAGTCTCTCACAGCAGAACTGAGGCTGCCTTCAGCTTTCAACCCTGCACAGCAGCTTGGGAGCACCATAGGATCACTGAAGCTTTGGTGACCTACAAAAGCAGCGGGGATACGAAAAGCCCTGGTTGTCCTGCTAAGGGACTAGACTCAAGGAGTGTTTGAGCAGCGGCAACAGCCTGACAAGGAAAGAAAATGCAAGGAAAAGACCCCAGCCAGCTGGTGCAGGCTGTGTGTGGAGATGCTAAAGGGAGCTTGGAGAGCAAACAGTCAAGCTCTGCAAGATGCAGCGGGACTTCTCAACACAGATCTGTGTGCAGCCAGGGAGCCCGCAAGAGAAAGGTGGGTCTCGGGGACAACTGGAGGCAGCTCCCAAAGAGGCCGAAGGAGTTAGCGGTTGCCTTGCACCAGCCTCGCATTGGAAAGGAGCTGCAAGCCTGCTGCTGCAGCAGAGCAGGAAAACGA